TCTAAATTTCAATTATTGCCTTTTATATCGCCGGCTCTTGCAAGAAAATGACAATCTGTTATTCCTCGGTGGGTTAAGAAGCTAATAAATGAAGATTTTTCGGCTTATGGCCACAAACTTTTATTCAGGCGCAAAAGAAGTCGCCCCGTAGCAGACGACGCGTAGCCTCAGCAGTGCTCTTCTCCGACCAGTCTCTGACAGCGTTGCTAAAAAATGGCGGTCGTCTCCTCTCTGCTCCCTTCTTTCTCTCTCGCTCCTTCGGCGCTCTCCTCCCTTTCATTTACTTCTCTCCTCTCCGGCGCCTTCGTCGCCACACCCATTGGCCAAACTCTCCCAATATACGGCTCTGTGGTTGGACAGAGCCGTATATTGGGATTTTTAATGTTACGACTGGGTTTTTGGAAAAAATACAATATCATCTCACACAGTCAATACAGTTTTGTTGATGGTTGTGGTACCATTAATCTCCTTGAGAATTGCCCTGATCAGGGCAATTCTCAAGGAGATTAATGGTACCACAACCATCAACAAAACCGTATTGACTGTGTGATATGATATTGTATTTTTTTTCAAAAACCCAGTCGTAACATTAAAAATATGATTTTCTAAAATTTTTGAAATGCAAGACAGAATGGTGAAACTTGACTTTGTACACCACCTTTGAAAAGGATAATAACCAAGGCTTGTTTCAATTCATTTGGAACATTGCCTCTTTCCAGATCCATTTATAAGAACAAGAACGTTTTCTTAAGGGATCATAGTTACGACATAAGTCACGTGCGGTGAGGCCATCAACACCCGCCGATCTAGAACGCTTAAATCCGGATAGGTGTTAGCATAACTCTGGCTCCGATAAAAGAGGAAGAAAAGCCGATTCGCAGTTCAGCGAAGTTCCGGTCCTTTCTAATTCATTCTAGTTCCAGGTGCCAAATCTTCGTGGTTAACCATAGTTTTGTTTAACCCGAGACTGGAGTATTTCGGAAAAGGGACGAGAAGAAAAGAGGCCACAAGGAGGCGACGTCTCAAGACGTCGCCTCCTTGTGGCCTCTTTTCTTCTCGTCCCTTTTCCGAAATACTCCAGTCTCGGGTTAAACAAAACTATGGTTAACTTCCACCAGCTCGCCTGCACCCTTACAATTTGTTCACTCTTCGTGGTTGCCAGTCAAGACAATGACGGAGTTCGCAAAACGGCTGTTTAAGGGGTTCCCAGTAAAAGTTAAATCAATTTCGAAAATTGTTTTTGTGTCTCTGTTACGGTTTTCTTTTTTTTCTTTTTGTACATAGCCGCGAAGCTTATTCACGACAAACCATGTTTTTCTTGTGTATGAACGAGCGTCTCAGATTTTTTTTAGCAAGTTGATTTCTCTGCACTAGTCGAATGAGGGCATTGACCCGATTTCTATGTGTGCTCCATTCTATTTCGAGAGTGGAATTATTGGGGGGGGGGGGGGGGGGGGCACCGATACTTCTTCCAAACTTCTCTTTACAATTATTGCTTCGAGGATATCTGAAGTAAGCCAGAGCAAAGTGGGTTTACGTTTCTTGACGTATACAACTGTTTTTCACGTGTCGCGGATGTTTTTATTTACATCATTGAACATAGAGTAAATGCTTACGCTGTTTACTTAGAGCAATACATTTTTACAGTTATATTCTTTAATGAGCCAATCAAATTGATTAAACTAGAGTTGTTCTTGACGAAGCCTACCCTCGAAATCTTGGACTGCCCAAGCCATAAAAACACATTTGCACGCAAAAAATAAGGGTCAGTGAGCTTTTGTAAAATTACAGGGGGATGAATGGAAGCATCTAAGACACGTACAAAGGCACGAATAAATAAGATTATCAACACCTCCCTGGTTGGACTAAAGGCCAGACCACACAAGCGACAACGGCGTCGCCTGTCGGCGCCGCTGGGCGGCACCGCCGTTCGGCCTACCAACGCTTTTGTCAATTGTGTTGGAACGCCTTTTGCCACTAGTCGCCTAAGCACGGAATTGAAAAAGTCATGCCAACATTTAGCCGGGAAGAGTTTTGAAGCTCCAGTACAGCGACTGAACTTTCCAGGTAACGACAATGCTGGACGCTATGTTACCTCACGAACCGGCTGTCGATGCAAGCGACGACGCCCAGGTGATCTCCCAAAGGGCAGAAGAAGTCCGTCAGCTCGCCAGACTCCGGATTAAGGCTCAACAACGTGTCGACACTGGCCGCTACAACCTTCGTCGTCGGGACGTCCACTTCCAGCCCGGAGACAGGGTGTGGGTGTGGACACCGATTCGCTGCCGCGGTCTCAGCGAGAAACTCCTGAAACGCTACTTTGGACGCTACAAAGTGCTTCGTCGACTCGGGGATCTGAACTACGAGGTGATGCCCGACGGAACACGGACTTCGTCACGCCGCCCTACACGACCGGGAGTCGTCCACGTCCGGAGGGGCAAACACTCACTTAAAACGACGGTGTCACGTGAACTGATTAACTTTGACTGTGCGAAAGTGACGGTTGGCGAACTTTGGACACACGTGCTAACCACTTCTCTTTGGTTGTCCTTTTTTTATTTCGTTTTCTTTTTTTTTTGCTTTCATTCGCATGTTTTACAAGACTCTCGTTACAAAGAGATTGTGCCGCAAATATACATACATACATACATACATACATACACACACAGCCGGGAGCAGGCTCTTTCATGGGGAGTGCTCATATGAAGTGGTCCTAGCTATAGATTAAAAGGTTAAAAGGCGCGAGCAAACAGGGCGAAAAAAAGAGACTCTACGTGTCTCTTTTTTCGTCCTGTTTGTTCGCGCCTTTTAACCTTTTAATCGATATGAAGCAACTAGCCCCAACCAAAGTTTATTATAAGTACAGAGTTGGTCGTGGACTTCACATCCGAAATCCGAGAAAGGCGCTACCCGTAACGTTGCCGAAGATGATCTGACGTTTCATCGTCCGCGACAACGAAGTTTAAAGATACAAAAAAAGACCAAGGTTTATTTAGTCCTTTAAACGCTTTTTTGTTTTATTAAGGGGAAATTAAAGGGGAAACTGAAAACAAAGGCATGCAAATTGTTGTTCCAAGCCGCTGTAACCGACAGTGCGCAACTGTTTGCTGCAAGTTACATTGGTTCTCGCAACGCAGAAAACGCTCATGTGGAATGGAACCTCGCGATCCGTGACGCCGCGCCACTAGCGGCAGCGATTTCGGCCGCGGAATCGCTGCGTGTGAACCCCGCTTAAGTCCAGACGCGGCCAACGCTACAGGCCTAAGCATGTGACCCTGAACTACAGTGTTCTAGAGAGTTGTAGTGGCAAGAGTGGCGGCCGCCGCGTGAAGAGTTTGCGCCTCGACGACACCGTAGCGCTGCTGTTCTGAGCCCTAGAAACGTGCCCCCGTCAGCTTCGTCGCAGGCGCTGCTCGGCGTCAACTACTGTAGTTCGACTGGAGCTTTTCGCGACGCAGAACAATTGCTAATGTGAAAATTTGTAGTTCTGCCTTTCGACTAGTGGATCTAGAGTGTACCGTTATCCTCTACTTTCATCATTCGCGTCTTTTTGATGGAGATCATTTGCTTAATATCGACTCCACCCCCCCCCCTTTCCCAGTGCTGACAGGTCGTTCAGCAACGCTGCACGCTTAATAGCTGCGAAAGAAACCATGCGATACTGATATAACAAGGAAAAAGTAGACTAATTAATCTCAATATATCTTTCACTTTTTAATGGTGAGAGGAACAATAAACTGGTGTATTGTTTTTTGTCATCGTGTTGCTGATGCGGGGACCAGCGTTGTGTAATGTACAAGGACGAGCGCGTTTAGGAACGGCCAAGGTCCCACTGCAACTGGCGAACATATAGCAAATTGTCTTTTGTGGAAAGCAATCCATGCAGAAAAAAATGCCTCGATTGGGAGTACATGGAGCATTACAATACAATATGAACAGAAACTTCAGCAACCCCTAATATGAAAAAAAAAATTTATTCTCAACTCACTGCTTTATGACTTCTCAAAAGTGGTAATACACTTCATCGACATACACAGCAAGCACATGACAAATATCCAGTAAAATACTACTCAAAAAGACGACAAAATGGTCCTAATGTACTGCGGTATAGAATCCTAACCCCTTTGCTATTCGCGACTTTCACGGCCTATAGGGGGCGCACTGGTGCCTATCAAAATGGTAAGGCCATTTATTATGAGGCAAATCATCCAGGAGCTAGGGAGCGCGACTCTCACACCGCGGTACCACCATCGCTGAAAGTTGCGAATTGACGCTGTGCACAGAGTCCCGAAGGATAAGGTGGGGTTCAAAATGCCTCTCGCACACCGCTGATGTCTCGGCGAGGCGTTTATCTTCTCGATTAAGATTTTTTTTCCTACTGTAGTCTGCGCGACTCCTCCTTTGGCACACGAAACAACGACGGCTTACGATCGCTGGTGCCCCGGCTGCCCTTGTTGACCGGGTACCCCAACTTGCATCCCGGCGCGAAGCAGTGTGTGTCTCCGTCTTTTTCCTTGCATTTATGACCGGGACGGCAACGGAACGGTGAAGACTCCCCACCACTACACCACAAAGAAAAGTGGTACAGTGCTACGTTCGGGGGAAGCGTACCGCTTCAGCTTCGTCTTCTTCGCTCATCGCACATCTGCCATCTGCCACATCCTAGGGCTCGGTACTCCAGCGCCACTCGCGGCATCTACGTTGGTCGTTTTCACGCGGCCCATTGTAAGCGGGCGCCGCTCTTGCCACTACACCCTCTAGAACACTGTACCTGAACAGTTCTTGCACTGCAGGAGCGCGCGTGCTTGGCAGGGACATTGAACAGCCATAGCTCGCTCTTGTAGCTTATGCCTGTACTTATGCTACGCTAACACTTGTGAGCGTAGCATCTCAAGAGGGCACTCACACTCAAGTGAGCGTCCTCGTGCTTTGCGTATTTTTCGCTCCCTGTCCATCAGGCGGTAAAGAAGAAGAACTTGACAACACTCGACCGGTTTGCGATGGGTCTCCTCTCCAAAGGAACGCCTTTTACATGGGAGGAGACCAAAGCGCGCAGCGATTACGTGCGCCACCACGGCATCGTGCAGTTTCTCAACCTGTACAGACATGTCCGCCATCGTCGAGACATCTCTCTTCGCTGGGGCGATGAGATGGAGTACATGCTCGTCCGTTTCGACCATAAACAGCGCAAGGTTCAGCTACTCCTCAAGGCCGCCGAAATCATACGAACTCTCAACGAGAAGGAGCGGGAAAGCCCAGAAAGCTGCGCCTGTTCCTGGCACCCGGAGTTCTCCGCCTACGCCCTGGAAGCCGTGCCTCTGGAGCCCTACGGCTACCGCGTTGCAGACTACAACATGGTGGAGCAGAACATGCGAAGGAGGCGAGCCGAAGTGCGCGCCTTGCTCGACGTAGACGAGGAGATAATCTGCCTCACTACATTCCCCATGATGGGCTGCAGGGATTTCACATATCCATCGTACAAGCCGTCAAGGTCTCCGAATGGCATGCAATCGCTGTTTCTCCCGGACGAGATGGTATACCCCAATCACCCGAGATTTATGACGAATGCAAAGCACGTCAAACAACGACGCGGAAAGCGTGTCGTCATCAACATTCCAATCTTCAAGGATGAGAAAACTCCCAATCCTTTCATTGAAGACTTCAAGAAGCTCGGCGACGACGGAGAGGCGCAGAGAGGAGCCCTTCCCGATCACATCTACATGGACGCGCACGGTTTCGGCATGGGCAACTGCTGCGTGCAGGTTACCCTACAAGCCGCTGACATCTTGGAAGCCATGACTGTGTACGATCAGCTTGCCAACATGGCCCCGGTGATGCTTGCTTTGGGAGCCAGCACCCCGGCGTTCAGAGGATATCTGGCGAACACCGACTGCAGATTCAATGCAATTCGCATGTGCATCGACGACAGGACAGAAGAAGAGATGGGCAACAAACCGGGCAAAAAGAACGCCCGCGTCATCAGGAGGCCTCGTTTCGCCAGCATTCCCTGCTTCCTTTCAGCGGTGAACCAGAAGCACAACGACGTTCCCGTTGAACACGACGAGAAGATCTACAAGCAGCTCCTGGAGGGAGGCGTTGAAGAGCCGCTAGCAAAGCACTTCGCGCACATTTTTCTTAGAGACACCCTTATTCTGTACAAAGAACTCATGTTCCAGAACGACGAAGTAGACATCGACCATTTTGAGAACCTTCAATCAACTAGCTGGCACACGCTAAGGTTCAAACCGCCGTCACGGGACAGTGAGACGGGTTGGAAGATCGAGTTCCGTCCCATGGAGCTACAGCTGACCGAGTTCGAAAACGCAGCGTACATAATCTTCGTGGTGCTTTTGACAAGAATTATTCTCACGTACAACCTAGACATGACTGTACCCATTTCAAAGGTGGACGAAAACATTGAAATCGCGCAAAAAGTGGATGCTGTTCTGAATGAGAAGTTCTGGTTCCGCAAAGATATTCTCACACATGGTTGTAGGCCGACAGCTAGTGGCGTCAAGGAAAGCGACGTTGCTGACGTGGTTAAGATGTCAATTGGTGAGATTATAAATGGTAAAGAGGGGGAGTTTCCGGGCCTCATTCCGTTGATTCGAACCTTCCTGACGAGCGCCGAGGAGGTAAACATTACCACTTACTGCTCGATGCACCAGTACCTAGAGCTGATCGGAAAACGGGCGTCAGGCGACCTTATGACTACCGCTCACTGGATGCGGCAGTTTGTCAGGTCCCATCCTGAGTACAAGAAAGATTCTATAATAACTGACACTATCAACTACGACTTGATTATGCGTATGTTCAAGCATCAGCATAACTTCTGGTCAATTCCCGAGCTTCTTGGCATGCCATCATCGAGATCAAGTACCGAGACACCAGGTACACCTTCGTCCATTCAGTCGCCTGGGTCGCCACCCCTGAGTCGCTGAAGATCATCGCGGAGAATGCAAAGCACCAGCATATTCCACCGAGTGCATTAAATTGCTCCAATTCTAACAAGGGTAGACATTTTTGTTGTAATTGCATAGTTTTCACTACGGATTGAGATGTTCATCCAATTTCCCAGCTGTGCGTGATCTTTTCTTTTAGTGTTGTGTGGTCCCAGATATACAATTTTGGATGCCGCTCCTGAGCGCTGATTTAGTGCTGTAAAATAAGCACATAGCGCCTATATTTCAGCGGCTACAAAGAAGAGTTAAAGTACAACTGCGAGGTCAAGTGGCGGTCTTTAGTGGTTTTTCTCGCTTTAGATGTTCATAGGCTTGGAACGCTGATAAAAGAGAGATAAATACTTGGCAAAAAATTGGCCATAACTAACGTTTAGCTATACCTACTAGAGGTGTCTCCTATCTTGATTTGAAGATTTTTACGAGAAGATTAGAAATGGCAAATGTCTATTTATATAAGCAAATTAATTATACAGGAATACAGTGCTCAGGAGACTTCTAGAACACTGTAGACTGGACAGTCTTCCCTGGGTTTACTTTCAATGAACTCAACGAGATGGCGACACCAGCATCAAATTCCCAAGACAAAGCATTGCAAGATTTACGACCCCTACGATATAACAGCTGTATAACACCCAGGCAAGAACGACAAGAAATGAAGCTGATTGTGAAGGCTGGGCACAAATACTACAAAAATTATTCGTGAATACGAATACTGAGATACACGTATTTCAAAGCCCAATATACAAATCCCCAGATAAATTTGTATCTTATGCAACGGGATATTCCTAAGCTACTTCTGCAAAATTGTTGACAAAAGTATTCCGGAATACAGATAATTATAGAAATACATTTGTTCGCAAACGGCGCTACGTGGCGAGTGTGTTGTTCGTCGTGACTGCAAATGGTAATGCAAGCTTGTGCTTCTTTTTCTGTGTCATTTTATGCCCTCCCCGTTACCTTGAACTTATTATTCATCATTAATGCCTCTAAAAGACATGTCACCCCCGGTGAGCCACATAGTTACTGAGCGGTAAAGACTGCGTGCCATGCGTGACAAAATGTGTCTTCACGAAATTATCTCTGTTGTGCCGTGAGGGCGCATCTCAAAATATCGTCCTATATTTTTTCTCGATCACCCATAATGCTGGGAAACTTGATGAAAGAGCCGCACCTTTCCTCCACTCAACCCCTTTACAGCGTTCGCTCTGCTCAACTGTAAAGAATGGAGGGCTTTTTGAGAGAAGCTTATTCTGTTATTATTGCAGGTAACCTTATTGAAACCACAAAAGATTTTTTTTCTTTTTATGTTGATGACTGATGGATTATGTTATTAGCTCGGTTCATGTTAGAAATTTTGAAGCGCCTTTCACCACACAGATGTTTTTATCTTTTAAATGTATCGTAAAACCGGCAACAAATGTAACGAGATAGCTAATACCCGTGCCCCATGGGAAACTTGATTGCCATTTACAACGAATGACATTTGAACAATCGGCCAATCACCGCGCGACACTCCGAGCGTGGGACGTTCCACGCGCGACAGATCGCGAGCCGATTCGTTGATCACGCGAATGTCATTCGTTGTAAATGGCATTCGAGTCGCCCGTGTGGCACGGGTCTGGCAAAGTATCGCGATACAAGCGGTACATTGTAAATGCATTTCTACACTGAGATACAAATACATTTGTTTAAATTCATGTAAACAGAGATATAAATACTGGAATGTACATCTAGAATACTATCTCGATAAATTTGTATCGCGATACTGCCCAGCCTTGGTTACATCAGGTCGCGAACTTGACACAACATATTGTCACGAATGACAGACAACGAGGCAGGAGAAAACAGAATGGACTAATGATTTAATGGGGGCGAACTTGTGCCAGAAACGAAAAAGAAGAACACACGTCAAGAAAGCAACAGCGAGCATCGACGGCGGCAGCAGCAAGCAACGGTGCGTCGGGGTAAGAGCTGGCTATCGTGTGAGAGAGGAAGTGAAAATTAATCGGAAATACGGCGCTTGGCTCTGTATCTACTATGGTCGTCATCTCAAATATTTTACATAGAATGTTCTAGAAAGAGCTAGGGCGAGACTGACTAGGCAAGGGCATTGTAGCCTCCTTACCTTTTACGTTTGGGGTAAGGGCGTACGCCAATTTTCTAGATGAGCGGAGAAGCGTATCTTCTCGATCATACACAATGCATTATACTCTCCCATTTAAAAGTGCATCGCCCCATTGTAACACAGAACAGAACAAAAAAAATGATAAGCTAAGGAAGTCATCTGGGAAACGAAGCGTCCTCAGTACTGCCGAGCGTAGAATGGCTTGAGTCGAAACGTGAAACACCTCGGATCGTGGTCAGCGTCCTGATGATGTTTGCATTCCGTCGGGTACCACTTCGTAGTTGAGCTCCCGATGCGACGAACTACCTTGTACGGTCCCAAGAAATATTTTAAGAGTTTTTCTCTGAGGCCGTGGCGACGAATGGGTGTCCACACCCACACCCTGTATTCTAGCTGGAAGTGAACGTCCCGATGACGAAGGTCTTAGCGGCCAGCATCGACACGCCGCTGGTCTTCAGGAGCTCGCAGTTGGTAAGCGATGCTTCATGAGCTTTTATCCAGCGTAGCGCGGTTCCCACGAGGAAAAAAATAGGCGTTCTGGATCGCTAGGTTGGACATTTGAGAAAAGGTACATGGAAGTGACGTAATGCAAAGGAGGAGCGTATCCTAGCAACCAGGGCCGTAACCAGGGGGGGGATAGGGGGTTCTGACCCCCCCCCCCCCCCGAAATTTTTTTCTGGGTACGGCCCTGGTCGGTGCACTGGCAGCCAGCCGATTTTAATCTCCACCTCTGCGCACGCGCAGTGGCGCCGGTCGGCTACCGGGTACCAAACCGGGACCGGTTCTCCGGTTTGCTGTAACTCTCCATTATATGCCACCGATGCACATGATTCATAGGCGAAAATAAGACAATGCGGAGGGAAAGTTCGTCTGCTTCTCGCGCAGGGGGTAGCGGTGACGTCAGAACGCCGAGCCCTGATTGGCTGATCGCGCCCCCCTATCTGAGCGTCGTCTGCTCCTTTGCAACGTCGTCTGCTCGCAACGTCGTCTGCGTCTGTCTCACCTTTCCTGCGACTTTCGGAAGTGCAGAGGCCATATTCACGAAACGATCTTACGCCAAAAATGTGCGTAAGACAAAACTTAAGAACAAATTCGTATTCACGAAACGAAATTTTCGTAAGTTTTGCGCAGGTTACGACAAAATCCTACGACAGCTCCGAAGCTGTCTTACGCACTTCTTACGATCAAATCAGCATGGCCGACAGCGTCGCGGTCGCGACGACCCACGGACGTTTATTTTTTTACGTGCGGTTCTGACGCGTCCCGACTTCAAGCAGCAAGAAAAAAGTAAAAAGTACTTGAAACAGACCACGACGAACAAGAACGCTGGATCCACAAACACCCGGGAAAAGCTCCCACGGCCACGATCCCACCGAACGCGACCAAACGAGCTGGGCAGTTAGGCCTAGCAGGCTCTCCGCGACTCGGCGGCCGTCTGCCCACGACCGGCTGGCGTGCTGAGTGGAATATGCCCGCGCGACCCTTGTGAACCCTTCCCGTATAATATTTTGATTGCTGACCTCAATTTTAGATTAAGGGGTCAATTTCTTCCTCTTGTTATCTCCTTGTTTCCCGAGGCAACGGTGACTCTCGCCGATGAAAAAGCGGTGAATCTCCGACAGACGCAGCAAAGGTAAAGCAGCCATCGCTTTGACCGCTTTGACTAGCAGACGTAAAGTAGACGACGTTAACTGCGCCAACCCGCCGACGCCGTTAAAGAGTGAGGGGTCTCGCCGCACACGAATGGAGGGAAAGAGTATTTGGGAGGGAACTTGCCTCGGTTCTAAGCAAAAATACCTCGGCGCCCCGGGACACCTCGCCAGGGAGTCCTTTGACTTCCCTCCTTGATGCGCGTCTGCTAGTTGTTAGACAAAGACAACGTACCGCTCGAGTTATTTCGTCTGCCCTCTCTTAAAGGCGAGGTCGAGTTCACTCCGAAAGTCGCAGGAAAGGTAAGACAGACGCAGACGACGTTGCGAGCAGACGACGTTGCAAAGGAGCAGACGACGCTGAGATAGGGGGTCGCGATCAGCCAATCAGAGTTCGGCGTTCTGACGTCACCGCTACTTCCTTTCTTATGCGCAGAAGACGAAAATGAGCCCACTTGCGAGGCGTATAGACACTTTCGAAATGGCCGCCGTTGTCCCCGAAACCCCCCCCCCCCCCCCCCCCCCCGAAATTTTTTTCTGGGTACGGCCCTGCTAGCAACACTCACGTGGCGGCTCTGCCCACTTTGACGCCGCTACGTCATCGCAAACTTGACACCCGTCACCCGTTTCAGCGACGTCCGGAGCCAACCACCGACGAGCGGAAGTAGCCACGTATTCCCTGAGGCGTCCCTACGCGCGGGATACGGGGTAGGATTTACTACGACGCGGGGAGCAGTTCCTGCGTTTAGCGAAGGAACGGCAACCAATCCTGTGCGTCGCTGGCCGTCGCATCTGTTCTAGTACAGGTAAAAGTATTGAAAAACAATCAAAACCTTTTGGGCGTTGTTAAAACAAACCGCTTTTTTGTACCCTTTTGCAATACATTTAAGAATTAATTGGAGAGAAAGTTGTTCCAATATTATGCGGGATGTGCGCTACGCGCCTTCTTCAAACCAAAATGTCGAACCACGAGGAGCCGGGTGAGCCGGTGGCAGCGGAGGGGTCGGCGGAACCAACGGGGAGCGCGCGAGTGACGGCTGCTTTAGTCAGAAACAATTTTTTTATCTTTCGAGAACTTGCTATTGCTGTGCTCAAATAAGAATGTTTGGCGCAACATCTGTGATAATTCTTTCAAAGTGGTCCAGTGTTTATATGGTGGTATGCTAGTCAGAGAATATATATATATTTTTTTCCTTTCAAAATTT